TTATCAATGAAAATTATAATGCAAATGTTACAGTGATGTCTGACACAGTCCTGAAAAAGAGAGCACGCAGAGGTAACTAGCAAACATATCCCCACAAACACTCAAAATATATGGCTGTGAAAGAGGAAAAAAAGGCCAGCAAATAATTGGTTGTTCACTGAATACTGTTATAAACAGAGAAATAGTTCTCATGGACCACACACGTAAGCATTTTAGCAAAAAAAAAAAGATGAACTGTTAAAAATGTTAAATAACAAGCACATTTTTAATGTGTGTAGGCATCAGTGATTCAGATCATATGGATGGAGACCAGGAAGGACAGAGAGGAGAGGAATATTTAGAATTCCATTTCTCTCTTTCTCCCGCCAGTAAAAAATGATGCTGATGATGAATGGATCAGTTTTACTAACTTTTAAATGCACCTTTATTAAATGATGTTCCAGATGTACAAATGCATGGGTTGAAAGCATCATGAAACAGAGACTCGGAAATTACCTTTGAACAAGATTATAGCCAATTTCAACACATTCAAGAGCAGGGCCCATCCATAAAGGTCAGATCTTGAGTAATGGGGTCATTTTCCAAGTCTAATAGTTCAAGCTGACAGCTATGAGATAGACAGAAATACAACATAACACTTGCAAATATTGAATTACAAAGTCATCTTGAAACAAATGTATCCAGCCAATTATATAGTTATCTTTTAATCTTCTTTTTTAGGTAAAATGAATTAAATTATTAAATAGTGAACATTCTGTATTGATTCAAATATTGATTCTGTAGGTGTTGTAAAACAAAGACTTTCTTTTATGCCGAAAAATAGGATGCCTCTTTAACATGTAGTGTTTTTGTAACATTCAATTTTCAAATTTTCAAAAGCACATTCAATAAAACCCAAAAATCTACCGGATCAAGTGACCAATAACTTACTGAATTTCTTTACCTGCCTATGGCAACAAGCTACTGGAAAGTCCAACTGGAAAGGTGCTTGAGAGACAGGGAGGGAGCAAAGAACAAGGAAGGAACAAAGGATTTACAGATTTTATATACAGTATGTGGGACAAAAAAGCCAAGATGATCATAAAAACACATTCAGGTTCCCACAGAAACGATAAGGTGCTATGTGGTTCTATGGATGCACCAGTAACAATAGAAAGAAACGACTGTGGAAACACTTAAGGTATTTTTGATGATTTAAGATTAAGTCCATAATCTGTATTTTATTAATTATGTTAAAACATTGAGAAAACACTGCTTTGGGGTAGGCCTACAGCTAGGATCAGTGTTTGGTTACTAGTATGCAATTCATCTACACCAGAGGTTGGTTATTATTGCATTGTATAATTTATTGTATTGTAATTCTAACCTAATCCCTATAAACCTCTGTCCTACTCTTCTATCCCTCTGAATGCTGTACTGTTTTGAATCAATTGATTGATTGATTCATGGCACACCATAAAGTTATTCCAACCATAAAACCTAATCACCATGCTACCAGAATTGCTAACCTATACTTTAAAGTCTTGTTAGTGTATGAGTTATATTATGTTATCTCTCCCACAAGAATTAATGGACAATTTAAGGAAACCATTACATCAATTCAATAAGCATGAATTGCAACAAGTGCATAATCTACCAGGAAACCCAGTGTCACAAATTGGAAACAGGCATGCTACAGTACTTGAATGAACTGGAAGGAACATACAATACTGTTTGTAAACATCTTTCTTCTGAGTACATGGAAAAACTTGTACTTGCCTACTGTACATAGTTTCATAATATGAATGTGAAAAATAGGCTTTTTATATGGACCAGAGGAAGGTCTGACAAAACAAGGCATTAATATGAATGTACAGTAAGCAGAGTCCTAGAAAATGTATTACAAAGTATGGATCGACTCAAGTAGACCCAGCTGAACCATCAAAAGGTACAACTTTTTATGCATAAAGGCAGGGGCAGCAAGAATAAAGCTAAGCTTCTTTGTACAATAAAGTAAGAATTTAGGCTTCTAACATCACAGCCATATAACCACAGTGTAAATGGAATTGCAAAAAGAAATCATTGCAATAAAGAAATGAAGACACAACTTTGAGTAAATGTGCTTGGCAAAGCTGAAGAAGTGAAACAAGAAAGGGGTGATTCAATTACTTTCTGAATTTATATAAGTATAAGCTTTCTAATGCATAAGGGATATTCAATAAATTATTCCAGTGAGTGGTAATCTGTTGAGTGAACATACAGTAGGAAAGAACACAATATTCTGATATATGCAGTCTGAAGATGAGAACTGTTTTGCTCCTGTTTTTTCAATTAACTGATTAACTTAATTTATGTTTTTATAAACAATTGTAGCCATTTAAATTGAAAAATGTAGTTTAAACCTATGTTCATATGTGTCTACATTTTTTCATGCATGTGAGTACAGTATATACACATCTTTCTATATGTGGTATAATTGGTTCTATTTGGGGTTTCTTTGTAATGCAATCCACACACTTAAAATTGCTTTAAAGAAAAGCACACCTAGTTTTAAACCCAAAAAGAATTAATGCCCAAAAGACTCTAAACTCTGCTAAGCAATAATGTTTTTCTTCATTTTTGACACTGCTGGAAAGAGCAGACATTCTTAACTGTATGCTCAAAGACGTGCTAGTGTGTCTTCCTCCCTAAGGGAGTGTTGAGCTCTGCAGCTGAGACCTAAATGCATCTTCCCAAGGATAAAAAATGATGTCATCTAAAAGCCTTCTGTTGGAATCATGGTTGTTTCAGGAGCTGATCACATAGCCTTGCAGCAGATAATCCTTCTTTATTAATCATTAATATTTTCCCTTATACAATCTGTTATTGTCAATGTACTTGGTTTCAGTTACTTTCATGTTTATACATTTCACTATGTCATGGGGAAGCTAATTTGAATGCAGTAGGTGAGAATGTTGAGTGCAGATGTTTTAATGTGTCTGCATTGCTCTTAACTCTAGTGCTGGAACTCTGTATAGCAATGAATTATGGCTTCTGATTTTTCTTACAGCAGACAAGGGCAAAATATCAAGCACAAAATGTTACAGTGTCAAAAACTCAAGGATAGATTAAAAAAGTTCAAAATCATTTCTGGGTACTTGGTTCACTGTTATTCTTAAATAAAGACAAAACATTTGCTTTCAATGACTCCAGGTTTTCAAGGCAATAGTATAAACAGTATAAACATAATAAATGTTAGTTCTAAACCATAATTAAATTATTTTATTTTATATTAATGTTATTTTAATATGCCTATATTATTTTATGTGCTAAGAAATGCTGAAGAAAACTAAGAAAGGCCAGTTATTGAATGGTGTGGTTTATTGTATCTAAATGTTTAAGGTTTAATTGTCTCTCCCTAATCTTTACATCTTCACCGATGTAAAGATGACACCAGTGTGTGGTACCTAATTATGCATCAAATCAATATATAACTAATTAATCATTTCATATGTGACATATTTTTAAACATTCTACCTGAATAAGGACTATTTTTCCTGTATTTAAACATTAAAGAATGACCTGTACAACTCCTCAAAGAAAAAATATGCATAAGACTTCAAACAAGAAATTTGTGGCTTATCACAAATTTTTCAGTCTAAACTATACTTGTGTTACAAACACATCAGGCAGACATCATAACCAGTGAAGTCATATTACCTTGGAAAACGATACAATACACTGAGCAAAAGAGAAACATTTCTAAGATATCAAACTTACAAAAAAAAAAGTTTTTTTGACCTCTAATCTCACAATACATGTTTGTATTGTGAGATTAGAAATCACTGGCTTTATGTCATGTGTGACATACAGTAATCCTTATAATTTATTATATGACATGTCTTAACTAGTTCTATTTAAATTTTCTTAAATACAGTATTAATTGCTTCTGAAACTATAATTACCAATACAAAATCAGCTCTAAATGCAGTCAATAGCTGGAGAAATGAGATTACCAGTTGACAACTAAATAACAGACACGTCAAAACACGAGGGGAAACCATTTATGTTTTTTCTGAAATAAGTTGGACATGTTACATCCTCATTTGAGAGATATAGAGAGGTTGTAGAAAGAAAGCCTATTAGATATGTAAAGTGTAAAATAAATGAGTACCTGAAAAGTGATGATCTCTCATTCATTTTGAATTGTGTTTTTAGTTTACCTGAAAACTTTTATTTATTTTTATGACAATTTAAAAAATAAAAAGGGGAATTTTAATTAATTGTCAAATTGTTTTGTTGCTTTTACCATTTTCTTCATGCTAAAACCTACTGTACATTTTTGCATCACATCACTATCCATGATACTTATTGAAGTTTAATGTAAATCAAACTGGGCTTTTGTGCTTTAACTTCGCTCATCATGATATGCTATTTTATCTATGTACTGTACTGTATTAAAGGGGAATTTTCATTTGTGGATAAATCAGTTTTGAAACATGTTCCTTTGATAAATTTCTTCTGAGAAATTACAACTCACATAACCAGACCTTTTTAAAAATGTTGACATGTTTCTTTTAAAGAATTTCAAATGAGAATGACATTTATTCTCTGTAACATTTGTATGTCTTAAAATTCTAGTTACAAAAATCAGTATAAGCTTAATATAATATTTTCATTGCTTTAAAATAACTGCTGAGATACCACACACTTCACAGCATTCATCTGCAGCTATTTTTTTTTGTGGAGAGGTGTGCTGTACAACAAGGCAACAAGAAGTTTTTATTAGTGCAAAAACTGACACCTTGGTCAAACATTTTCTTCTAAAAACAGTGTTTAATTAGACCACTTTAAGCACTTTTTATTTGAATCTGTGAAGTTAGTTTTTTGTATTTTATGTATATTGTTTATTTCTATTTTGAAAATTAATATCAAGTAGCTATTGCTGTCATTGCATTCCTAATAGAATGCCATGCCTTGCTTTACTCAAAACAGGACAAACTTATAAGCAACATTTCCAAGTATATCACACCAGCAGAGGGGCCTTTCCCACATTTAATGTACTGTATATATTCAGATGACTGAGCAAATTCATTATTAATTGCCCTTCTTAAAACAAACACAAATGGGTCTTTTTAATGACTTTCCAGTAAGTGCTCTGAAATCAGACAGATACAAACAAACCTTGTCATATTTTTCCATAAATATTTATCGAATCCTATTACAAAAGTAACCTGTTGTTGTACCATTGTTCCCTATGCTGTGAAGAACAGGTATATAAAAAAATAATTTGGATCTGAAAATCTCATCAGATCATCATCAGTGCATCATGGTCTTGGGTAATTACAGTTTCAGCCATTGTACGTTTCCATTGTGATGCATGCAATATGAAATCATTAACCTGATGTTTACCAGAAGAACTCTCAAATTAATTGAAAATGTTATGTGCTCTAGTTTACCTGGTGGTGTTTGTTCATTAAAAATAACCAGTGTTGCTGGCGTGGGTCTTCTCTTCCTGATCTGTGGAAGACAGGTTAGAGTGATGTGGACATGTATAGTACTGTACTGTATATATAGGACAAACAGCAATTTCTCTTCATACATTTTTGTAACTCCTAGAGGATTTACAGTAAAAAATTCATATTGCATTGCACTATCTACCATCTCCTCTAGTAATGGAATTTTCAATGGCATTGAATTCTTGTCTAGGGGAAGTATACAGATTGAACAAGTACGTGAAAAATGGTCACAATTCATTATCCTTTCTTTGTTAAGGCAAAATAACTGATTTTTAAAATCAAGTCTGATGGAAAGAAGCTAAATCAACAAACGACAAAGGCACAAAACTCTTGCTCTACCACATCATTAAAAAATCAGACTAATCTGAAGAGCTGTCATGGTCTATTACATTTGATTTGTAAATTGTCACTCGATTGAACATGAAAACAACTCCTAATGATACATCTGTACAAAATAATGTGTGCGCAAATATGGCTGCATTCAAAGTACACACAAGCCAAGCCCTTTCTCATTCTTTCTAATGCATCAGAGCCCCTGATCAGTTACCACCGCCCCAAATGACAGCCACTCTTCAAGCTCACACTGCTAAATAAGGCACACTCATGTATCCTTTACTGAGAATAATCATATTGTTATAGTGTGTTATATATCTTGCATTAAATTTCACTTTGGTTTTTTTTTGTTTGGTTTAAGTATTTAAGCGTTATTTGTAAGCAAAATGGCCTCAAGGGTCCTAAACTTTGTTTTCAACATACAGGTAAAAATTGTTTTCATGGGCCCCACCAAAACTCTTTAAAAATAAATCTCTTTAGATACTGCAGATCTAAAAATATAAAATACATTTCTGTTAAACTTGGGTCTGTGCCATGAAAGTATTCCACCAAAAGCCTTTTGTTTTCTTACGGAGGATTTAAGAAAAGTTACACAATGAGAGCTTTAATTTGTTAGAAAACAAGAAACAAGAACATGTAATTAAATCTCAATAAGATATCCTTTTATTATGTATTCAGAAATTATTAGGTTTTAAGACTAACCTACATCCATATTTACAAATTTACCTAAATTACCTTTATTTTAAAAAACAGTTGTCTGATATTTCTTCATGAACTAAATAACATACACATTAAAAATATCCTGATTTTACTACCTACAACATGGATTTTTATAACAGATATATTGCTTACATTAAAAAAATCCAAGAATCCTAATGACAAACAAGCACCTTTTAACCTTATCAAGTCATATTACATATGATGTTTTGCTTTATTTTCCTTACCTGCTCAGATGCTTGTGGGTCTAACTGACTCTGAAATAAAGGAACAGCAAACTGAATCTTCTTTGGACTGTTAGGTTCCATAGTGAGAAGAGATGGAGGTGGAACCTCACCAAGTCTACCCAAAGAGCACAGCTACCAAGAATTATCCCTCTGGCTCCCTCCTTAAGACCAGGCTGATTGTGCTCCAGTCAACAGCCCGCCTTCAAGTCCCCCAGTAAGCAAGTAAAGGACTTCCACGCAGCATGAACTGAGCTGCCTGCACATCCAGAGTTATGCGCCCCTTGCCTTTGATACCTCACAGTACTAAAGAACTGCCTTGTTCTTGAAACCAACAACAAACTGCTAATTGTACAGCACTCTACCTCTGTGCTCCAGCCAGGCAGGCATTACTCACTGGCTCATTTCAAATGAGTCTCTGGCCTTGAATGGGCTGGTGCCCTGGGATTTCAATAAGCCAACCCATTTACTGTATATTATTAGCAGCCTGCTCAAAAGTGCAATATAAGCTTCCTTTGGGCACTGCTGATGTATTGTTAATTATTAATGAGCCAAGTTCAGGAAGCTTCCTTTTGTTTGTCTTTTTCTTTTTTTTAAAAAAAAAAAAAGCATGCATATTTGAAAACATGACTTTTTTTGCATAGTTGTTCACAATGAGAATTGTCTAAAGGCTAATAAATATATACATTTCATCTGGCATGTGTTCTTCATTTAGTATGATTTCCACTTCTTCCAGATCAATATCTGTACTGGTTGTGCTCAGTAGAGAAGGGGAATTATCTAAACGTGTAGGACAAACCATACCAGAATTTCCTTAACTGAACTACTTTACATTGTGCATTACATTTTAAAAATGCCTTTGTATAGGCAAATTAAAATCTGATCTAGTTCTTTATCTATTGTCATCAAATCAGGGAATATTATAAAAATCACTTAAGGGACTAAATAATCCATCAGTTTCAAGTTCCTCAAACTAACCCTATGTTGATTTATAAACCTTTTACAATTGAGCCAGACTGGCTGCTTCCTATTGTCCTGTCATTTCTTTCTTTATAAATGGCACATAACTAGATTGGAAGTGATTTTAACCTGGCTGGAGAGCGGCTGCTTCAGTAAAGAAGACATGAACGCATCTTACTTATGTTGTCTTTAGACAGAGTTTCAGAATGAAACATAGCAGACCAAAAACATTTCCTTTCTATACCCACAGACGTATAATTGATGAGGATTTGCACACTTTCTGCCATTAGGCGGTAAAGAAGGAGCAAAAAAAACAAGCTTTTCATATGGCAAGAGTATTGATCCACAGATACTGTATACAACCGTTTTTACTCTGCTGAGAATTCACATAGAAAAAAAATGCTGCTTTGGGTACTCACCTTGCATAGAATTTAAATTCACAATAAAATAATTTTCAGTACAGGCCCTAATGTTTTAAACTGCATTAGCAATTTGTGTTAAATTGTTTTAAAATTGTTTTAAAAATGTCTCAATATAAATAACATACATTTCAAGAGGAGCAACAACAGCCAGGAATTAAAAGTACAGTAAAGTGTTTGACTTACTTTTATTGTTCCACATGGGACGGTTGCTTTGCCGACAGTTAAAGAACATAGGCACAGCACATTGAACACAACATGAACCCATTAACAATATGTATGATGAAAAAGAAAAAATATACATTTAATAAAATATACTATCAATTGCCCAAATTAAGCAGATTAATAGCCTAGGGATTAAAAGATAACTTGGTTCTATTGCATTTGAATCTAGGTAGTCTAAAAGTGGTGGTCATAACCAGTCAATAATTATATTGGCCTTCTGCACTATTTGTTTGACATAGATGTCTGAAAGCTGTAGCTGTTGTGCACCAATTATTTGCTGGCTACCTTCACAATACTGCTCAGTCTGTTTGACTGCGTAGTCATAGTAAAATGTGGCTCAATCCGCATGACTGAGGGACAAGCTCCTGGCCACATGACAAGGGTGCTGGAACCCCAAGCTGTGTGAGGTCAAACATGGAGCAGCTTGGCTTAGTTTGGCTTAGTTTTAAAAGAAAAGACATCAGAAGTGATTACGATTTAGAGCAGCTGAGAATGAACTTGCCCGCTCTCTTCTGTCTGAAACATTTGTTGTAACTCTATTTAATTATAATTTACATTTAAGAAAGGTGGTGTGGCAGTTAGCACTGCTGCTTCACAACGCTTGGGGCCTAAGTTTGATGGTGGACTGGGATGTCTTCTATGTGAAGTTTGTGTGTTAGCTGGGGTTTTCACTGGGTGCTCCAGGTTCCTTCCAAAGGTGGGTAGATTCTACATGTGAGTGCCCTGCAATGGAGTCCATTTAGGGTGTAAGTCCACCTTATGCCCTATACTTCTGGGTTGTTGTGACCCTTTCCAAGAATCAGTTCTAATGAAGAACGTTTTTTTCCCTGCACCTAAAAAAAGTATTGCCTCAAGCCTTCTTCATGTTTTTTACAGTCTTTTCCCTTGAGAGTATTGCCTACTGCATTTGAAAATGATAATGGCTATCATGAATCTACATTTTAGTTTCCCGAAATAATTTTTATTTTTTCATTTCAGCATTGTGGTCTAGAGATTAAGGTCTATGTCTTTCCTTTGTTTCCCCAAATGTAACCTTTAATGCACCTATTATCTCTTTAGGAAGTGAAGAGTGAGCAATACTAATGTATTTAAGCAAGCAGTTTCCACCAGTTTTTACAGACTGATGTTGAGTGTGTAGGCAGAATGTTTCCAGGATGAAGATTCCCCATTTGCATTAAGTGCAGCAGACTCTGTATATGCGTATTTGTGTAGTAGTTGTGTTGCCTTATTCAGAGAACCTTGCTGCATTGTCAAAGCTTTATTTTAAGTGTAGATACAAAGGCAACAATAGATTTGATCACAAGCAAGTACAATAAAATAAGACATTTCTAAAATATAACTGATAACATGACAAGGCAAGCATAACGATGTTGGAAAGGAAGTACACTATAAGGACTATGGGAAAAAAAGGCAGTTAAGAATTTGAAAACCATTGAATGGCAAGCACAAGTAGTATGCTCATTCACACTGTAGATACACTGAGCATGAGCTCAGGAAAAATTCTCTCAGCAGCATGGACTTTCCTTGATACTTTATTTTAACAAGAAATATTTGTTAAATATTTTGAAATGGTCATTGTTACGACCCCAAGTGTCTAGGGGAAAAGGGGTGTGACATTTAGGATAATTCTTTTGGAAGCAGGTGGGTTTTAGTGAGGGACTAGGAAGTGTGATAAAGGTAAGGAACTAGAGTGGTGCCAAAGAAAAGAAAACAACAAACAAAATGGAGCTGGCTAGGACAGTAAGGGAAAGCTAATCTGACTACAAAAGAAAACCCGAAACACATGGTCTTCTGCGTCTTCAACACCCTAGCTAACCTGCACTGACTACCCAAAACCATACAAATGGCACTCACCCATACTAAACTAGTGTACTAATACAAAATCAACTAAGTGTGTAAGTGTACCCAAAAACCTAAACTAACCTTACATACAAAAGTTCACACAAAAACACAAGTGAACCAGGAATACAAATAAGGGAAAACAAGAGTAATCAACAGGAGCAGGGTACAAAAGAACACAAAAGTTGAACATGTAACACTAGGGCAAGGTAATGACAAAACAAGGATGAACACAAACAAATGAAAGTACAAAGAAACTAACAAAAAAAACCCAACAAAACAACAAAGCCGAAGCTATACAAAAATACACAAACACTAAGCAAAACAAACCAACAAACGAAGCCGAAGCAATAACCAGAAGCGAAGTGATAACCAAACCCAAACAGTACCGAAGTCAAACGAAAGGCCTTTTCTTCCTGAAAGCCTCCATGTTAAATAGTGAATAAAATGAGTTCTGATTGGCTGAGGGCTGATTGATGATGTCATCCTGAAACAGTGGTGTGATGGTTGGCCAATGGGGAAGGGAGAACAATCAAAGGTCAGCAGTGTGGACATAACAGAAAAAACACACACAGAACACACACTGGGACGTAACAGTCATTTAATGTATACCACAAATACCTGGAAATGGCAAAATGGCAGAAAAAAGGTAACAATAAAAAATGAAAAACGGCTAAGGGGGTAGCTTTGACTTTAAATTGGTATTGGATATAAACTGTAGAAGCTCACATTAAAAATTAGTTTAGGGATGTAATGTATCAAGGAAATCATCTTACAGTGATCCATATTTAGACTGAGAAAAGATAGTTGAATGATTGTGAAAATGAACCAAACCTAATGGCACAAAGAATTACTTATTCCATTCAACAGACAGAAGAAAGTGGCAAAATGCCGAGAAGAGAATCTGAGGGAGGACAGATCAGCACAGAACGAGAAACTAGAAAAATAGCGAAAGCATAATCTTACATTATACAACAGTGAGATTAACAGTGGATAGTAGTTGGAGATTTATAGATTTGGTGAAATCTGAAACTTACCCAGAACATCTCCCACATAAAAACATATTGACTCACCCCCACCTCCCTAACTCCACAAATGTGTCATTAGCTTGCAATCCACTTGTATCCAGACAAACGCAGGACATTATTTCTGAGAAAGATTCTTGAAATCAAGCTCTCTTACTTCAATAACTAATTACTGAACATTATTATCTGAGTGCTACCAAATATTTTTTGCACACTATATCTAAGAAAAATACTGCATAAGAAAATAATGTTGTTAAGCTCATTTCATGCAAATATTTCAACATCATAAACTACAGTATTTCTATACAGTAAATAACAAATGGGTTTGTACAAATTCCACTTGCAATTTTCTTCAATATAGACATCAGGGTTTCGATCTTCTAATGCGCTTTTTTAATATTGACAGATTTACACAATCTAATGTACACCTGTAGAAAGAATCTGTCTTTTTTTAGAAGATACATTTATAATCTTTATAATGTCAGAATCAATCTGAATTTCTCCCATAAATAAAAAACCGGGGAGCATAGTACTTTAAAAGTACCTTTTACACTTTAAAAAGTACAATTATACTTTTTGTATTACAACATTTCTAGTTATGCATAACTGCATAAATGTAGGTTACTCAAGAGTGAAAGAATGCTTTAAAGATACAGTTGTGCTATTCATTCCGAGCCAACTGGTCCTATTTTTGTAAATGTTGATCATGAATTCTGGTGCCCACACTCTTGTTTTCAAACTTTCATCAATAGTAACCTTTAAAGTTGACATGTATATTAACATCTATGAAGTAACTCCTGACCAGTGATGTGTGCAAAATAAGTAATTTGATGCATTTCAGATAATGAACAACAACACAGTCAAAAGACAGGAAATGTGAAAGGCCCCAGATGTAGCAGGACATAATTAAACTGAAATTACCTTTTCAATTTAAGCTTCAGCAAGTTGGCTGTACCTCATTACCTCAGTAATGTCCATATTAATTAGTAATGGCAAAATAGACTGTACTGGTGCACAAAATGTACACATCTGGTCTAAATTAAACCATCATCTACCATTAGGAGCCTTTCCCACCTAGATGACATTTGTTAAATTCTCAATTGGTTTTTAAAAGGGTTTGGCATTGACAAAGTCTCTTGTGTTCATGTAAAGCAGAAAAAAAATGAGCTGCAGAACACGAAGTGAACCTCATTAACAGGGAAAAAGAGAACAAAATTGAAATCAAATCTACCTACTGTACGTTTGGTATAGCTTTCATTGATCAGTCACATTATTCTGTTTAAAGCAAGTTAATTATTAAATAGAAGTATTACACAGAAAATGTGCGTAAGACTGAATGCATTGTGGAACTATGCAAGTTTAATTTTCTGGGTCTAATAACAACATACACGTTTTCAATATCCCAGTTTTAACACAGCTTTCTTTGCAAGAAAGTGGGGGAAAAAGCTTCTGACAGCCTAGAATTGAAGACAGAGATGTGTGTGAATGACACATGAACAGGATAGACCTTATAAATAAGTAAATAAGTGCTGTATTGCATAGCTTTCGAAGTAAAGTAAATGTTACTCTAAAAGCTATGAAATTATAATGCAAAAGCCAAATATACACTGATCAATTAAGCTCAAAACTGTTCTGATTTAACACTGACCACACTTATCAAAAATAGATTAATCCATATTTCATGTTTAACTTTGCTAATTTTCTGACTTAAATATTAATGTTTCAAGTTAAAAACATAAGATTAAACCTAAAGAAATGTGTCAGTACATAAAATGTGGACTGCTGTATCTCCAGCAATATATGTTCCAATGTAGAATCCTGCAACCTCTCTTTAAATTTCATTCTCCTGACAGACAAATATCTTTGCAAAATATATTGCTACCATGGAAAAAAAACTGTCTTTCATATATCTGAACTGATTGTAGAATTACTTTGAAAAGTATGAAAGTATGCTCTCTTGTAATCAATAATTTCATTTTCCCATATAGAATGAAGCTCTAAGTGAGATACAGTGTGATTTAAACTGATGTTTAAGATAAACTTGAAAAGATTATTAACTTTATTTCTGGGTCAGTTTTATATTTCCCATGGTGTTAAATTATATGAATATTTGAATTTTAACTTTTACAGTATCATTATATATTCAACAAAAATATTTTGGACAAATGGATGTTACTTTCGTTTCCTCAGGATTGTATATGCTCTCTTTCACAGACACCTTCCCTATAATTAAAGCTGATTTGAATCAGAACACATTAGAACACAAAACATCTTCAGTGTAATCAAAATAAATAAATCTTTATTTTTTTACTTTATAAATCTCCCCTTATACATCCCACATGACAAAGGTAAGAAAGTCCCTTTAAATTTCTGTCCATTTACAAATACAGATAACACTTGCCATAAATTTGTTAGTATCTATTACAAAGAATATTTTATTTTAAAAGAACAAAAATCACCCCTGTTTTTTGATACAGTATATAGAGACATCAGGGCTTGAAACCACAACACTTTACCAGTTCTGTTGATAATTTCCAATTTTCTTTGATTTCTATTGATTGACTAATAAAGTATTACTCTTGTTAATAAGACTGCAAAGTATATTTTTTTAATATGACTAAGCTGGCTTTAACATATAGAGAACACAATGTAAAAAGAAAACATTCTTGCTGTGCACGCGATAAAGTTTATTGTTATGAATACTCCTCAGTCTCAGGCAAACCAACTAGATTAAACCCTCTGGTATAAAATGACGTCCTAGAAAAGTTTCCTGAATAACTCAAGAAAAGCGAAACTATTTACATCTCTCTTATATAAAACTATTTTTAATAAATGTTATTGCCATGCTGGCTTCAGGTCTGGAAAATATACATTTTTCATGATAACATTTCTTTAACAAATTAATTATTTGAGACAACTCGGACAAAAGGCATTTAGTGATTGCAATACAACACAGGTAATTCAAAGTGACAAAAGTGAAAACAGTAGTTGCTCAGTTCAAGTCCAGAGTTAAAGGTATTGCACAGCTAGCTCCTCATAGAGGTCACATTAGTAAGGCATCAGACTGAAATAAATGCATGCAGATTTACAGTAGACACTTTCTTAAGGTACATTTTCACTAACCAGGCAAACAGCCATTTCAAGTTTTATCACCTTTTCCAATTACACATACACTCGAACCAACAACACTTACTTAAATACAGCACAGAAAAAATAAAAATAACAGCCCTTAGAACTTGACTTTAGCTGACCAAAAGCTCATACACATTTGAACAAAGGAGTTAACAGTAGCTCATAACAGCAGCATTAGTGTCTCCTGAAGCTTTGTGTAGGATACATAGAGGAAAAGTCATATATATATTTTTATCTTCTAAATACATGATTGAAAAAAATTAGCAGTCTGGTTGTTATCAGTGCATGTTATAACCAGTGTTTGAAGTGATATTTGTCCACAGCGTTTCTTTTGTTAAACTGTAAATAAATAAAAAAAACATTATTAAGACATACACTAATATATAGTCATGTTAAAACATTCTGACTAATTAATGAATTGGTAAGTCTGTTCAGATCTAGTTTCTAACTGCCATATTTTACCACCATCTGAAAAATAAATTTGATTTCCTGGGAAAGGCTTAAGATGAACTGTATACATTGATCCACATGGGCACCACTCATAGTTATCAAAAGGAAGGATTCAAGGGATTTGTACTAAACCTCAACCCTAGGAGTAGAACCTGAACATTTTTGGTATCACAGTCTCACTGGAAGTGTGCTTCTATTGTGTGTATATTAGGGAGAAACCAAGGAAAGAAACCATTAGATTTTGTATCTGTAATTATATGACCATTAAAATGAACTTGACAAGGCTTGAACTCCTAGTGGCACACTTTTGACAGAATGTTACTCATTCTCAGTGAAGTCCGTACCTTCAATTTTAACTAGGCACAAAGAGAATACTTTTATCCTAAATTCCTAGCACACATGATGAAATCCTTGAAATAATTTTATTTTGGAAAGTAAACCTAATGTAATTAAAGTTTTAAAGAGTAAGGTGAAGGAAAGTGGTATTACCATGCTCATGTGTGTTCTCTCTTCATAGCTGGAGATCTTCTGGGAGAGACAGCAGCAAGGAGCTCATTCACGATCTCCTGCCTTATTTCGTCAGCTATACTGTCCTTGATCTGAGGAGTGGGAAAAGTGTTGACAAATAAAAATGCAATTATGCGTTTATTATTGCAGATTTATTTAAGATCTAGAACAAGTTGTATAATGCAAACTCATGACAAATATCTGTAGAAAGACTGGCAGTCCCAAAAAGGTAAACTATGAAACATCCTACCTGCACTGTCAATCATCCAAAGAGAACAAAAATGTTTATTGCAATGGCATATGGAACAATAACATTCAAATAAATAAAATGCGCAGGACTATCCCATGATTTTGCTTATATTTTGCTTGGTGAAAACAGATATCAGGAATGCAAAAAGATCAAATATTTCAACTCAATGCCGATTTGTGCTCAAAACTGACATTTCAACAGCCCTATATAAATTATAGATGAAGTATCATCTTCATATCCTCCAAGTCACTCCAAACATTATTTAACCAGATACACTAAGAGTATATGTCATAAAATCATTATTGAGTATATGGACAAAGTCAAAATACCGAGGAAGAGATTGTCCCCCACTTTGGCTGATTGGACACAGAATAACCCTGTAGGCTATGTCTATATTTGTTTCTTTCTGCATAGATTTGTATATAAATATTTATAGACACCTCCTGCCAAATATATTTAAAACACCACAAAATCTGCAAGTAGCAAATAAAGTACATTTGCTATAATGCTGTATTGTACGCACTGCTGAAGACATCTACATAAAAGACAATTATCATATAGCTCATATAACCTACATTTGTCCTTGATTGTCTACCACACCTTTCTAACTACATTATTTAGTGATTGGAAATAAACACAAGCACAAGGGGAAAAAAACAGTCCAGGGTCAACACTGCATTTAACCACTTTCTTAAGGAAAGATAAGACTTACCTCCTTTATAAGTTGTTTCATCTGGGGACTGGTTGTTCCTACTCTTCTACCGCCTTCCTCTGACAAAGTTGATGGCAACGATAGGTCGTCTCCCAGGCATTCTTCCACACTCTTGGAGTCCTCTTCTTGTTCCGCCTGGAGACTCTTCTTCACTACGGGCCTCATGGGAGGAGAGGGAGTGAGGACCACCGAAGCTCGGTAACGGCCTTCTCTCTGTAACGAGGACAGTTCCGGTGTCTGCGGTCTCCGATTCGTGCCCAGGTTCCGTTGCGTTCTGATGGGACTTGCTGACCCAGAAGAGTGTTCTGAAACCACAGAAGGAGCAGCACTGCTCCCATCGTCTCCCCCGGGCTCCTCGTATCTCAGCTCAGACTTCAAATACAGCTGCTCTCTGAGAAGCTCGTTGACCTGCAAGGGGGCGATTCAGGATGGCTTGAAGCACATTAGTAATACACAAATGTGAAGTTTCAAAACACAAAAAAGGCAAAGGTAGTGTTAACTGAACTGCCAACCAAGCAAATGGAACCACTCACACATCCCTTTGCATGAGGAAAAACACTGAAATACTTACTGGTTCCATCACATTCATTGGAGAGTTGCAAGACAGACTGTCCATACTATGAGTTCCATGGAGGCCCTGTAACAGTGGATGTAGCAAAAATAGAAAGGAAAAAAGAACAATAACAGTGTATTATATACTGGAAAATGTCCATTAAACAAAGATCATAACATGTACAGAAAATTATAATGCAGATGTATCAGCTGTAACGTACTAGAATGATTCTTGTGCGTGCTCATTTTTTTAAATGTCTTTTACCGGTAACTTTGTTTACTTGATGCAACCAGTATCAGGAATAAGCGGCTTTCTTATTATGATAAGAGGGATGGTATCTTTGTTTACCACTGTACACAGTATTTATGTGGTATTTATCTGGGAATATGCATGTAAATTGTGTTCTTGCTTTGTTCATAGTTGCATCTCTGATAAGTGACTAATAAGCAGGATTAATGGTAACGATATTACCATTAATTTATCTCTTTTTGAAAAAAATGGTTTTATGGTAAATATTAACTTAAATATTTAAACACTGATTAAAAAACACCTTTAGATATTTAGAATTGGATCAATGGATGAAAAAAACCTACACCTACCAGTAGGAACGACGTTGGTCAATAGGAATTATTTTTTGTTCAGCAGAATGTGCTGAAAAGGTCTCTGAATGCATTTTGGCATACAGTAAGCATCATGACAAATCTGAATCATATGGCTGAATACTTGCCGGTTTCAATCAAAACAGAGCCTTAACATATCCCTCGATTTCATTCACATGCCTGTCATTTTAATAGTTTCAATACATAACCCATCTCAACTAAGCACACTGTAGTAATGCATGTGGGAAGGCAGCTGCACTTTGAATGATGAGCTTGCCAGTACTAACCATGGGAGGGTGATAAAGGTTGGTGTGGTGTGAGGCATGAAGCTGATCCTCCAGAGACAGCAGCCGATCCTCCAGCTGCAGCTCCAGCTCCTGCAGCTCCTGCCGCACTGCATTGCGCAGGTGTTGCAACTGCTGAGCTTCCTGTCTAGAAAGGAAATGCACCATTTATTGAACCTAACGCAAGTACTCCAGGAAGAGGCCGTTGGTAGAAATGTGCATTTTTAAGGGACGTATTCATTTCTAAAAAAAAAAAAAAAAGACTCTTACGGAAAGGCTCTTCAGAATTATGAATACAGGGCTGAAGCTACCGAGAATGAATTTAAGACAAACAGGTTTTCCATAACTCTGTACCCTAAATGTATGTTGTGATAGAGCTAAATACTTTGCAATGTAACAGTAACCAAAAATGTAACTGTAGAAGACACAATCTGACAAAAACCTTGCAGGTTACTGAAAGAGCAATACTGTACCTCTCTTCGTCTGTCAGATGTTGGTATACCATAGACTGTTGTCTCATCATTGACAGCTCCAAATCCATCATCTGATTCCGAAAGACACTAAGGCTCTTCCTCATGACCTGCAGCTCTTGAAATGTATTCTAAAATGCACAAGAGTTATGACTACCAGCATTCTTCTATCTTATTACACAATGCAATATTTTGTTTTTGAAATACTTAAAAGCACTAAGCATCGGATCACAAAATATTAAAATGCTACTAAATTGGGCAAATTGAAGTGTAAATAAAATAACTTGCCTCATAAAGTGGTAAAATGGATCTTTGCGAATTGAACATCGATGTAGTAGAAAGGTCTTCACCCCTCAGGGTAGAATACTAGAAAAAAATATAAGTTAAACAACCATATTATCTATAGACATGCAGACACCTGTAAAAGAGGTTGAGAAAAAAGTGAAAGAGAAAAGGGCAAGAATTACAACTTCTGCAAATGAAACTGGCAGATTTAATCTCGGCAAAGATTTAGAATAGAAATGTAATTTTAAAATAGACATTTTACAATATTTGCATTAGCGGGAAAACAAAACTACAGTTTCTAAAACCTGAAATAACTGAAACTTTAAAATATCAAGACAATCCTGTGTGAGGAAGTAAAAATTAAGATTGACAGGGACAGATAAAAATAGAAATATTAAGCACATATACAGATCAATGCTGCAGGTTTCGAATAACTGTCAACAACATTAATGTTTCTTAAAGAATCACTTCAGAGAGACCTGATGCAAAACCGATGACAGAACCATTCTACAGGGAGTTGCTAATATACTTCAGGGTTAGAAACCAGAAAATCAAGACTTAAAGCGAAACGTATTTAAGGTAAAATTTCCCCATAAGAACAATGTTAATATGGGGAGTTAGGTACTGTAAGAGCATAAACTTTTCCAAAGAGATTTAAAGCTGGAAGGCTTTTCCCCCATAAGAAACAACAGAATAGAGCAGGGATTGGGACCATAATTATTATTATTATTATTATTATTATTATTAATGTTACCATAGCTAACTATTTAAAATGCTACTTACATTTTGTACCTGCACTATGGTTGGAATTCATCATTCCATGGATGCAAAAATAAAAATAAAAATTAAGAAGTCATCTTCACCAGCTACACAAAATACAAGGCTTTTTCTGCATGAAACCTGAAAACAATATACTGATATGCGGATAATCTTTTCAATGTTTCTTAAATATCTTGATAATGTTAGTGTATACAGAGTTTGTAAGTAGTGTATGACGGGGCTACTTTAAATAGGGACTCCTGTAGATTGTAAATGACCACGCATGACATGGAAGTGCTACATTCAGTACAAAAGGCACCTCAAATCTCTTCACAAACTTTCCCAATTCATCACAGCATAAAAAATTAGGATTTAAAATTGAGCTACTATAGGAGTTCATTTTTTTTTTATTGGACCTCTATTCTTAATGAAACCTCAGAAACAAGTGTCCATATTCACGTAACATACTCTGCTTTTTAAAAGGTTTCTGATATTTTCCTTTAACATGTTTTACTTTTTAGTCAAAACAATCTTTGGCCAGAATATCTTCTGACCCCCTGCAGGAAACAAGCGTTGCCAGTTATAAATGCAACACTCAAGAACTACTTAAATGATATGATCAGTTCATTCAGTGAAATTATGTGTAAAAGTAAAGCAAAAGCTAATATACTTCCTTGTTTGCAGGGATATTTCACAAATAGTATATAATGTAACATACAGCCCATTCAATGTGCATATATGGCTTGGGACGGGTCAGATACATATCATCATCTGGTTCATAATTGAAATTACAGGTAATTGTTCTGCCGACGGAAGGTATGAGCCCTAGTCAATCCAAGATTCCATTAAACTTCACACAACATGCTTTAACTGATATGTGCATAATATTCCAAATATTCTATGGAGTACTAACTGTAGAGAAGCAGAAAACCACTGTTTTGTATGTCAGACGCTTCTACGAATCTAGTATGAAAATCAGCACTCACCTGGGACAGGTTCTGCACAGTGTTCCTAATGTCGTGCAAGACTCTTCTCAGTTGCATCTCTGTTGTTGAAGGAGGACGACTGTGACGTGGATACGGGCAAGAGGATGGAGGATAAGGGCAAGAAGAAAATGAGTAAGAGGATCCACATGTGCTATAGGGGGGGACATTAGGAACACTACACGTGCTCCATGACCTCATGTGCTCACAAAGGGGCCTGCTGTGCCAGTCTGAAGGAGTGCTGTGCAGTGAACACATTGACTGAGTCATGTGTTGTGGCATCTGCAAAGGATAGGGGGGAATTTTGCTGTGCACTTCCTCCTCTATGTCCCTGGGGAAAACAGTCTGCTCCGTTTTCACAGGAGGCGTGTTTATAATGAGCGTAGACTTGCATTGGGGCTGTTCCTCTTCCTCTGCTAGGGGTTCCTCCTGCTCTTCTGGGGTGTACCGGTAGGTGAAAGAGGGGGGAGTGCAGCGGGCTCGGCTGCCAGGATGCAAGTTGATTTTTACAGAAGACACCACACGTGTGGGGCTGAGAAGAGAAGAGGGCAGGGAGCTGGCTCTCCTTAAAGGGTATCTGTCTTTTTCCCATAACAGGTCTCTGGATTTCACTCGAACAGAGGGAGACCTCATGCGACTCTCATTAGACACAGGACAAGCTTTCTGCTGGGCTCGGTGAAGGGCATCCCACACTTTTTCAGAAGCGGAAAGCACACATGGTGGTTCTTCGGGGTCTGTAGTTGAGTGAGGCTCATCCGTTTCAGAAGTCCCACGCTCCATAGGTTTTGGAATCTGGTGGACAGAGAATACAGGGACTACCTCTTCACTGGCAGCCTCATCTGCTTCTGTTTCAAGTGCATTGGAACCATCTATGGTGGACTGCGGTAAAAAGGCCTCTTTTCCCAGCATTTCCTGAAAGACTGACTGCTCCCGAGCCAGAGGGGTGGCCAACTCGCCTGCAGTGGATGTCACCGTTGTCTCACTGTCGCAGCTATCGGAGCTCTCCTGAAACTAACGAGAAAAACAAACCACATGAATAAATTAAATGTAATCACAACACATAGAGAGCATGTAAAATCTGATTTACTTTGTTCAGTGAGAACAATATGTTATTTACAGCCTATTAATTAATTAATTTGAACACATTTGAGCACTAATATGATTTGGAAAGTAGTTTTTCATGCCACTCATTGATAATTACTGCTATTCCAGATTTCATGCATAAAACACACTGAAATAATTACCTTCAGGTAATTAGTGGAACCATCTGCTGAAGGATCTTCGGCAAAACCACTGCTATCGGAGTGCTGACTTGCAGTTCTTAATAACTGTTCTGAAGAGGAGAGGTTAACATATCAAGAGTAATACTCTAGCATATACATATTTAAGCAATAACAGCCTTTGTCATTTAAACATGTTAAAGAGAAAACTTTTAGATGTTTATTTCTGTTTAAGTATTCAGAATCTTGTACAGTTTTCAAATATGTACTTTAAAGCTTGCAGTCATCACAATTTCAAGCAACAAATAATATTTATAACATACACAACCTACTCCATGCATTCAATTAAAAAAAAGAATAGATAACTATTATGTAAGAAAAATGGAAATGCCAAGATTGCAAAAGTATTTAAACTCTTTGCTGTGGCAAACAAATTGATTTGGGTGCACAGATTCAGTAATGGGACAATAAATGAGTTGAGTGGGCTGTGTGTGCAATAACAGTGGTTCATATAATTTCAAAAATAAATACACCTGTCTCTGTAAGGCCACCCAGCCAGGTAGTGAATGTCAAGCAACATTTCAAACATGAAGACTAAGGAGCTTTTAAAACCTCTCAGGGATACATTAATACAAAGGCACAGATCAGAAGAAGATAATAAAAAACAGATTGGAGACCGTTAATATTTTCACCTTATTAGCATGGTGAAGGGTTAGGCATTTACAGTAGATGAATGCCTAGATCAGGTTGCCCCACCAAATTGAGCAGCCGGGAAAGAAGGAAACTGGTTAGGTAATGTCACCATGACGCTAAGTGTAACTTTGAAAGAGTTACAGTTACAGAAGAGCTCCATGACCGAGATGGAAGAAAACTTCCATGGGTCAACAATACCTCTACCCCTCCACAAAGGAGGAACTGAATAAACCAACTAAAATCCTGCATGGAGTTTGAAATAAAGCACCTACTGTAAATCTAGGAGCAATCATGTGGCAAAAGGTTTTGTAGTCAGATAAGATAAAATTATAAGTTTTTGGTTTAAGTATAAAATATTACATCTGATGCAAACCCAGAATAGTCCACCATTCAGTCAACACCAACACTGCTGTCAAGCAAAAGTGGAAGCATTATGTTCTCTTCTCATCAGCAGTGTGACACACATCTTAAATTTTTCCTTTATTTTTGTTTCTGTCATTTACTGCAACCCATCTTTCCCTTAGAAGCATTCATATTGAGCATTCAGCTTTTAAATAAAATATTAAGTTTTACAGATTTCTGTATTAAATATACTTGCATTGGTCAAGCATATTATTACTTTTGCCCATTAGATGGCAGGCTTACTCCACCAATGAGGCCATATAAAAAGCACACATAATAGTCTGCTTACCGCTTCACTGAATGTAAACAGGTGTTTTGGCTAATGTATTTGGACTTAATTTATACACGGAAAAATCATCTAATTTTAAATTGATAAATCAAATACAAACAATATGAATAATTGTCCTATAAAAACAAATGTCATGTGCATCATCTGAACTCTGAAATATGTAGTAGTAATATCTACTTAATACCATAGATTCTCTAAATAACATTATTATAATTCTGTACTCTGATGTTTTAATGCTAAACAATGTTTTAACATATCTTATTGTTAGGAAAAAATACGTGAGAACAGTACAAACTATTAAAACTGTGCTGCAAGGCACCTCCCTGTTTTTACACAGGCCACTTTCTCTCCGACAGTGATAATTGTTAACTGGTGGAATTCTACAGTGCAATTTATTTTAGGGTTTATATTACATTCAAGTATGCTGGTTCAACATTTTACATAGTTTCCTAATTAAAACAAAATGGTTTGTACTTTTTAGGATATGTTATTATAATTTCAGGGCAAAGTACAACTGTTATAGTTTATTACAGAAAAACCACTATGGTAATGTTACAGTTAATATAATGCATATTTTTTTTAAAAAATATTTCAGCAGACAGTTTCTCCATGAGATCATGCTCATTTGAACGCAAAGATTTTTTATTCCTGAATATAATGAATGTAATGCCGTACGGAGGATTGGGACTTAAAAAGAAAAACAAACTGCAATAGTATTAATTACAAGACAAATATATGAGCAGAAACGTTTAGGTCTATTTGGTAAAACAACCCCCATTTCAATATGTCCTGGTTTATTATAGGTCAATAAACCAATGTTGACAAACTTTATAAAAACACATTCAGGACGATAACTTCCCTTTAGAAATCTGCATCTTACAGCCCTTTCAAAATAATTATTTACAGCCATCAGCAATAACTCATACAGACTGCGCTTTGACTATGGGTAAATTTGAGATCATAGCAATCCTGAAGTTATCATTAATTGCTAAAATATTACAATTGTAAGTATATCAATTACAATGGAACAAGTAATAGGTTTATTCCATGCTGATAAAAAGAAAGAAAACGCAACGTTTCGGCCATGGAGCCTTCTTCAGATGTGAGAAGGCTCCACGGCCAGAACGTTGTGTTTTTTTTCTTCTTTCTTTCAGCATGGAATAAACCTATTACTTGTAAATTTGCAGCCTACACATGCTGACGCAGCTACCCACCTGAACTATTAATTACTATTACAGACAAGTTTAGATATTTTAGCAAATTATTTACATTTGTAAATACTTAAGGGGGGTACATTACAAAATAAGAACAAGGATTTAAGATAAATTTTGCCAAACATCATCTAGAAGTGGAACTCTGCCATTTCATTTTTTATAAAGCAAAATGATAAAAGGGGTCTGGAAGAATCATTAACACTAACACTTCAAAGTATAACTTGATTTACTCAATGCACTGTGACTACGGAACTTACCATTGCCACCTCTTGAAGCCAGGCGAGTCCCAGGTATAGTTTCCCCTTCGTTACTTTGCACCTACAAAATATTAAACTGGGCTCTTAAAGACTTTCTGAAAAAGAGGATAAATTACGGCAAAATGTTTGCAAACAATAATCATAAATATGCTCTCCAAGTCCTGAAAGAACAACAATATGAGAAATGAGAAAAAATAATATCCATTTATAACTTAAGCGTGTGTTTCATAAGCCTTTAAATTTCAAATTCGACTCACTCTACATTTCCTCCTTTCACAATCAACTGTTCCTTAGAACATTCTGGAGCAGACAGTTAGCTGAAATGTTTAAATGCAACTCTTTGTAAAGTAGAAGTCGTCTCCCTACAGAAAGATATTCTAGGTAAACATCAAACTAAAGCAGCTAGAAAATTATATGTTGTTGCAAAAACAAAAAATGATGGCTTCTTTAACTTGTTTTCTTTTCCAAAACAGTTCCTCAAACTTCAGCTAAGAGAAGGTTTTATTGTGAAGCTGGCATGCAAAATTATTTAGAGTAAACATGATGAGAAAAATGATGCGTCCATGTTTTAAATATCTACAAATTAGTTCATTGTTGTTGGTATATTATGACTCTATGTATTTATTAAACTAGAATTTTCTTCTACTATTTGGCCTTCAACCCAGTTGTCAATCGCAAATTTCTACCCCAGTAGATGATAAGTGACTTTCCACTGTGCAGCCTCGAGCAGACTGACCAAGTACTTCACTGCCATTAAGGGAAATTTAGTATTGTGACTGGCGTGTAGGTTGACGTTTCAATTTTATCAGAGCCGTTGTCTCGACTTAATACTGTTCTGCTTTAAGCACCACTGTGAAATTGTGCTGACTGAAAAAAAAACTAAATAAATGTTACATCAAAGAAAATGCTAGGCAGTTAAAATAAAAACCAAAGTCTCCAGCACTCATGAGAGTATCCCATTTCAGGAAATTTAGTAAAAGAGAAAAATGCAGTTTAGAAAACACGCATTACCATGATGTCAAACATTTGCCAGGTTTCAATTGATTTAGGCTGAGCTTCACGCCACAAAGACAGAAGTACATAAACTCAATAACATAGCATGCAAACCGAGAGCCACAAATGCCAAAAGAGAGAAACTCAAAACAAATGTAGATGGAATGGTACAGAATCATCCAGTATAAAGGATATAGTACATACGAATATAATCAGTATACTGTATATGTACAACTGCATTGAAGGTGCTATGGCCACTGTTCTATTAAACTTTAAAAATTATTACTAACAGATCACTAACAGTTTCATTCATCTATCCATCCATTTTATCCAATTCAGGGTCGCAGAGAAACCAAAGCCTACCCTAGCAGGCAATGGGACACCAGTCCATCGCAGGAAACAAACACACATCAGGGCCAATTCAGCTACTTCATGTGGAGGAAAGGGCAGCCCAGCCAGTATGTCTTTCGAAGGTGGGAGAGAACTGAATAACCTGGGGAAAACCTGTGCAAACTTGGGGAGAGCACGTAGACTTCAAATGGAAGGTGCCCCTGGCCAAAATCAAACCTACGATCCAAGTGCTAACAGGGGTGTTAACTCTCACACTAAAATGCATCAACTATTTCAAGGAATTCAAAATCAGGTGTTATTTAGTATGCAGCAACACAGTGGTTAGTCTTGCTGCCTCACAGTGCTGGGGCCCTGGGGTGCTATCTGTGTGGAGCCTGTATGTTCTGCCCATGTTCAAATGGATTTTCGTCAGGTGCTCCAGTTTCCTCCCACAGTCCACAGTGCCAGTACATACTGGTAGGTAAAATGGCTTTTAGGAAAATTGCCCCTAGGTGTAAGTGTGTGCACGTCTATGTATCTCGCCTGCAGTGTCCCATCCATTGCTTGCCGGGATAGGCTCTGGCTCCCCCACAAACCTGAACTGGATAATGCAGTTAGAAAATGGATGGATGGATGATATTTGGTACTTCTTTTAAATTTTGAAACAATTATAAATTGTTTAAAAATAAGCAAAAATATTTTAACAAGAGTACTTCAGACATTGCTGCATCACCTGACTCTGAACTCTGAATCCAGCAACGTGGTTACTAATACAAAGCCTGCTCCTCCTTGGACAAGCCTGCAATTACTATGACGCATAATAACTGTGTTGACACAGTTATTGTTATAATGACACAAACATACAGCCAGCAGCCATATCACCCTGCAACTCACAACTGGCAACCCACTTAAGTTAAGCAGGTGTGAGCCTGGTCAGTACCTGGATGGGAGACCTCCTGTGAAAAACTAAGGTTGCTGCTGGAAGTGGTGTTAGTGGGGCCAACAGGGGGCGCTCACCCTGCGGTCTACGTGGGTCCTAATGCCCCAGTATAGCGATGGGGACATTATACTATAAACCGAGGTCCTGACTCTCTGTGGTCATTTTAAATCCCAGGGCGTTTCTCGAAAAGAGTAGAGGTGTAACCCTGGCATCCTGGACAAACTTCCTATTGGCCTTACCAATCATGGCCTCCTAATAATCCCCATCTATGAATTGGCTTCATCACCCTGCTCTCCTCCCCACTGATAGCTGATGTGTGGTGAGTGTTCTGGCGCACTATGGCTGCCGTTGCATCATCCAGGTGGATGCTGCACATTGGTGGTGGTGGAGGGGAGTCCCCAT